ATTAGACACGCAAGGATTTTATTAGAGGAAACTCCTATGTGAGGGAAAATGGGGAGAGAGCTGGGAAAAGGTCTGGGAGATATCAGGGTATGATGCAAGAGTGACCACCCCACCCCAATGCAGGAGGGAGTGGGGAGGGAAGGCTGGGTGGTAGCATCTTAGACTGCTTTGCAAATAAAGCAAGGTTAAGCAAGGCTGCTGGGGAGTCTCAGAGCCAAAGTCATCCACCAGCCTCAGACTGACCTGCCTTGGCATCTGCAGCTTTGCGCAGTCATTGACCTCAGTGCGAAGGTAACATAGTTCTCAGAGGGCAGGCTCTGGGGCCCTTGGGAATGATTCACATAGATTTGGAGGCATGTGAGGTGAGGTGTCTTCCCATGGCTGCCGCATAGTAAGTGGTGAGAGCTGAGCCACATGCACTGCAAAAAGCAGCACAGCAAAAGGGATAGGATTATAGTTAAAATGAAGAACAAAACAATGCAAGGAGCACGTTCACCCTGACCCCTCACCCTCACCCTACCAGTGAGGAAGCACGAAGGAGTATTTGTGTGGACTGGGCCTGTGAGCTTCACTTCAACAAGGAACTCCCAGCAGTTGGAACTCCCAGTTCCAACTCTTGTCTCTGGAGATTTGCTGTCCTTTTGGGGGACTGTTTCCTGATGTCCTTACTCACTAGCTCTGAACTCAGTTCTCTGATTATTGCTCTGACCAAGGGAAGACATAGATCTTTCCTTAGAGCACAGCTGAGACCAGGCTGGTGTGTGGTTCTGACGTTTCCATAGGCTTGTTGGGGAAACAGCAAAGGGGTCTTCAGGAGCATTAGTTGGAGGGGTTGTTTTCTTCCCAAAGGCCCTTGCCTTCCCAGGGACCAAAGAAAGGTATAAATAACCACAGCTGAACAGAGTTGGTTTTAAACAAAATAATCATTCTAAGTAGTTTAGCTGGTGCCGGGGGAGGAGAGGGAGATAGGAGTTAATAGGGTTCTGGCCAGTCCTAGGTGGGGCTGTCCAGACAGTATCTCCTAGGAGGGGTGTCCTGGGCAGAAGGGACAAGGATGAGGGCCTGATGGTGTGTCTGGAAGTGACAGATGGAGAAAATGATGCAGGTGCTCCCTTTTACTCATCATCCGAACCCAATGACTGCAGTGTCTTCCTAACCCATCCCTCTGCTTCCTTCTCCCCTCCACACTGCCCTCCCCCAGGCAATCCATTCTGCCTGCTACAGTTATTTTTCTTGTACACAAATCTTATCATAATGCTGTTTTTGCTAAAAACCCTTCAAAGGCCTCCCAGGCCTTCTGGACTCCTAGCATAGCATTCAAGGCCCTCCTCAGTCTTCCCCCAATGCCGCAGCCCTCTCCCCACTACTTGACTCTCACCAGCAGAACTCCTGGTTCCAACTCTTTTCTCTGGAAGTTTGTCATCCTCCTGGGGGACTGTTTACTGCTGTCCTCACTCACTAGCTCTAACTCTGTTCTCTGATTACAGCTCTGGCCAAGGGAAGACATAGATCTTTCCGTAGAGCACAGCTGAGACCAGGCTGGTGTGTGGTTCTGATGTTTCTGCAGGCTTGTTGGGGGAACGGCAAAGGGAGCTCCCCACAGACAGCTAGTGAGTATGGGCAGCCAGCTGTGGCTGCAATGGGAACAGCTCTGTCCCTGGGGCCTCTCTTGGCAGCCCCCAGCTTGTGGCCCTCATCAAAGACAATTTTTCCATCTCATTGCCCAGGGGCACCCTGAGAATCTCTATATACTTAGAGTCCAGTCTAGGAGAACTATGTCCAGAAAGAGGAAGTCCCCGCCTCTTATCTCAAGCCCGCCCACCATGTTTTAATGTCCTGATCTAGGACAACTGGCTTTGGGAAGAATCTGCCCTTTAGGTAGGCCACACACACTGTCACTCACAGTATTGTAGCCTCGCACTGTGGCTAATAATCCAATAACCTCCTGCATGGACATTTGCAGGATACCTTTTGTCTACAGCATCATCATCTCCTTTTGTGTCCCTCGTGTGCTCACGCTTCAGCCTGAGCCTGTTTAAATGCTCATTGCTGGGTTTTGCTCCTAGCAATTCTGATTCAGTGAGTCTGAGGGGTCTATGGCTGATTCTAATGCAGCTTCCACCTCCAGTGCAGCTTCTCTAAGCTTGTGTGTCCAACTCTGTGCTTGTATTAATATTTAGAAGAATGGAATGGGCTCAACAGTGCACTGAGCTCAGCTTCCAAAGAGAAATGTAGATGCCAAGGTCAGGTGCAAAGGACAATTGCAGATAGGAAAGTGAGACTGCGGAGTGACATGCACGTTCAGGGAACTTGGGCAGATCTTGTTACCCACTTATAGCTACCACTAGGGTATCATTTTTCCCATTTGAAATCTAAGTCTGTCAAATACATTTTTAGTGGAGAGAAAAAGGAGATGGAGTAATTTGGGGAATCAAAAGTCAAATCTAGTTTTTTGGGTTTTGCACCAAATTTGATATTCCCTGCACTGGAAAGAACCCCTCTTCTTGGATTAGATTGAATTTATTTGGTGCAAACACACATTCTGTAAATACCAGTATGTTTTTACTTTTTAATACCCTGCATGAAAGAGCAACGATGATCAGAAACAGCAGCTATTAACCTTGTAATCTCTTTAATGCAATTAATTAATTAGTAAATTGCTACCAATTTGAACTGAGACATGCATCCACAGTCAGTGTAAATATAAAGCTGCTGAAATAAAAAAATTACTGTTTTCACATTGGCATTTAACAATGAAGTTTTTAATAAAAGGCCAATTGCTTTATGTAGAACATTCACTTAATTGTATTTGCTCTAGTGGGATTTTATCTGAATTATCTGGCATGTGAAGGAAATGAACTAAGTTCTAACTGAAGAAAAACGAATCATAGGGAGATTTACTACAATAATTTTCAAGGACTGCATGGAGAGGACTCATCAATTTTATTCTGTATTCACTATAGAGGGAATTAAAAAACTGAAAATAAATGTACACTGTAAATGTAGCAGTGTGCTCTATTGGAGATTAAACCTGTATTTTCCCCGTTCTAGCAAGAAAGGTTTGGAAAGATATCTTGTTTCCCCTGGTTTTACTTTTTTTTTTTTGAGACAGGGTCTCACTCCTGTCACCCAGGCTGGAGGGCAGTGGCAATCTAAGCTCACAGCAGCCTTGACCTCCCAGACTCAAGTGACCCTCCCACCTCTGCCTCCTGAGTGGCTGCAACTACAGGCACATGCTGCCAGCCTGGCTAATTTTTAAATTTTTTGTAGTTATAGGGTCTCACTGTGTTGCCCAGGCTGGTCTTGAACTCCTGGGTTCAAGCGACTCTCCTGCCTCAGCCTCCCAATGTGCTGAGATTACAGGTATGAGTCACCATGCCTGATGATATCTTGTTTCTTAGGGAGAATAAATCTTTGAATGACTGAAAGTACCCTGTCTCCTGCTCCTATATGGAGGTCTGGGACTCCTGGAGACATGGAGAAAGATGACGGGTAGTTTTATTTTTCAGAAAAAGAGGTGTGAGCAGACATTTTGGGACCAGGGTCTGGGAGGAGAGACTAATAATTCTCCAGAGGATGCTTGGAGCAGAGATGGTGCCTGGGGCCCTGGGGCCATGAGGCAGTGAAAGCTGAGCCCACCTGGATCCTGCATTCTAGGGCTGGCTTGCAGTCCACAAAGTGGGGGAGGAAGGGAGCACAGAGAAATAGCTGTGATGACTGGCATCCTGCCAGCACCTGAGGCAAGAGTGGGGCGGAGGACCCACCTAGCCTGGCCTGGTGTGTCCCTGTGTCCCTCATTCTTGGCTTGTCCCTCCTACCCACTGAGGCTCTGCTCCAGGGTTCTCTTGGGGGCTCTGCAGGCAATGACACCCACTAACTCAGTCAGGGAGAGGGGCTCCAGTGCCCATACTTTGGAGGGAGTCTGAAGCATGCAAGTGCGCCCTGGGGAAATGTGGGGGAGTCAGAAGGGGCTGGACATCTCAGTAACATAGGGCTTAGTTGTGAGGCAGAGGTTTCTGATAATGAGGTGTGTTAGTCACTGGGATGAAGACCAAGTGGGCTTTCTTTAGGGACCTGTGAAATAGGCAAGTCTCATCCATTTGGGGGTGGATTTTGGATTTTGTGTGGTCTTGCCTGGTAGGGAATGGGGGATAGGGGATGGAGGAGGAAAGGCACTCAAGGATAACAAAACATGTTTACTTCTCACACTGGGGCTATCTGCTTACTCAGTTGCTGAAATCCGGATGGGTCCCATCATTGTTCCTGCTTCTCCTGCTTTGTTAGAACTTCCCCAGGGTACATTAAAACAAATACAGAAATCAGGTGCATTATCTTTTATGCTTGGTTTCATAAAAATTAATTGCAGAAAAAAATATATGCTGTGACATATGCTTTCTATCCCACCAAGAGAAGAATCACTGTAGCACTTTCTCTTGTGAATAGAACTCAATAGTTCTCCTTTGTGTTGTAAAATGGTATTATAGTCATGCCAGATAGTGGCATTGCATGTAATTACAAGCCTGTTGAGTTCTGCATTTAAGCCCAGTTTGAGGGAATGTGGCGCTCAGTGTTTTTAATCACATAGGATTAAACTTGGCTTTCAAGTTTTGTATAAAGCTAGCGCTAGCTGGTAAATGTGCATTCTGACTACCAGTGTGAAGAAAAATTAATTCAATTCAAGCAACTCTGCCTATATGCACTGGTGCTGTTGGATCCGTTTTGTGGAAAGGGACAGTGTCCTTCCTGCTACAGAGCTCATGCTTGATTGGTCTGTATTAGTGTCATCCTGGCTATCAGAATATTTTGAATATTGCTTCTGACTTACATCTGCACTCTTTTCTTCACATGTAGGTTGGATTACCAAGCTGTAACCCAAGATGACCTGTCCAACCATGAAAATAAACACCACTGACATGTCTAAACTTTATGGGCAACTGGTGAAATGCAGTGGATTTACAAGGAGCTGCCCCCCAGGCTTCATCAAATGAGGCAACTGAGTGCTGTTGAAATCACTGTTTTATTTACAGTCCATTAAACTTCCAGTGGGCAGATTACCAAACCAGAGTTGATCATACCTGGGACCATAGGTCAGTAACATCCCTTACTTGTAACCATTTCTTCCTGGAGTCCAGACTAGTGGACACGTTCATCTCGTCCAACCACGTTCTGGCCTCCATGACTCTGATGGTTCAGCTTATTAGTCAGCTCTCGTGGAGCTGTACATGTGCTTTCCTGCAAGATCAAGAAAGTTGATCCCCAGGTCACATTGAGTCCTTAGTCCTGAATGTTGTATCCTACACTGAATTTCTCAGATGCATCACTCTGTCTGCAAGGGCTGAGAATGGGGAGGAAGATGGGAAAAGGTAAAAAGCTTTGGGAGTTATGTAACAGTTTTGAAGTTGGAGATTGTATTTCTCTCGTTCACTTTTCCTGGGCCATTGTAAATACTTCTTGCATAAGCACAGCCAGTCATATGTGGTAGGCCAGTCCTGACCTACTATTCCAAATGTATAATTATGACTTATAATAAGTAGGATGATAATTGCCATGTAGTGATGGAGCAGCCATGTGCTGAACACAGGGCTAGATGGTTTCACATACATTGTCTCACTTATATTTTATTTATTTATTTTTGAGACAGGGTCTTGCTCTGTGGCCCATGCTGGAGTGTGGCGACATCATTATAGCTCACTGCAGCCTCAAACTCCTGGGCTCAAGTGATCTTCCTGCCTTAGCTTCCTGTGCACTAGGACTACAAGCATGTGCCAGCATGCCTGACTAATTTTTTTTTTTTTTAATTTTTGTAGAGATGGGGTTTTGCTATGGTGTGCAGGCTGATCTTGAACTCGTGGCCTCAAGCAATCCTCCCATCTCAGCCTTCTCAAGTGCTGGCATTATAGACGTAAGCCACTGCGTCCAGCCTCGTTTAGTTTTTAGAACAATAATCCTGCAAATAGACATTTCTCATCTTTTATAGATAAATAACCTGAGGCTCTGAGAGACTTATAACTTGCTCATTTACTTAGCCCAGCTCGGTCTAGCACCAACGCCCAGTCTATCCTTCCCATGTGGCCTCACAAGGAAACCCAGTGTCCCACCTGTCCCATGCATTTTCTGAAATCAGGTCTGAGTAAGTATTTCACGTGCTCCAACTTCATATGGAAACTTCATATATCTTTAAAATTCCCTTGCTCGCTCCTCTAGTCAAGGTTATCTTGGGCACAGAGAGTTCTTTAAATATTCCAGCCACCTGTCACCCAAGGAATGTTCTGAACCCTGACAGTCTCCGAAGTGTTCCTGCCCTTGCATGAAAATGACTCTATCTGGTTTATAATTAGAAGTGAAATGATTTTAAATGGCTTCCACATGGCTTAGTTTTCCAAGCAGTTCCAGTTACATAGAACTTCATATAAACAGATAATGAGAGGCTAGAGTTGGAGAGCACAGTTCCTGTTTCCAAATTGGCTTGAAGTGGGGACATCTGCTCTGCATGAAACCTGGGTCAGGCTGCCCCTCTCATCTGTGACCTCCTGTGGTGAGGAGGGACTTGCTCTGGATTATATAAAGACTTCACAAGAGTACTGGAAGCGGGGACAGAATCAACTTGAGCAAAAAACCTAATTGGTTTGAATCTTTCCTTGACCATCAGTAATTATTTTGAGATTGATAGCCTATCTTATAATAAAATTACTGTTTCCTTTCCAAAGATAGGATTTCTTGCCTTGGTTGCAAGTCCAAACAATGTCACTTAACTGGCTTTCACAAAGATGACCTGATATGAGTCTAATGACTTTTCTTACAATGAATTATGCAGATTGGAAGATATTTACTCAATAAATTTACTTCCAGCCTTCCCCTCCATATTCTCAACACACACATAGCCTTTTATTACTACTACTATTATTATTTATTATTATTTTTTGAGATGGAGTCTCGCTCTGTCTCCCAAGCTGGAGTGCAGTGGCGTGACCTTGGCTCACTGCAAGCTCTGCCTCCCGGGTTCACGCTATTCTCCTGCCTCAGCCTCCCAAGTAGCTGGGACTGGGTGCCCGCCACCATGCCCGGCTAATTTTTTGTATTTTTAGTAGAAATGGGGTTTCACCGTGTTAGCCAGGATGATCTCGATCTCCTGACCTCACGATCTGCCTGCCTCGGCCTCCCAAAGTGCTGGGATTACAGGCATAAGCCACCGTGCCTGGCCTATTATTATTATTTTTAATTCCAAAACTGAATGGAGAATGTGGGAGTTGAAAAATTGTGCAAGTTGCAGGGCCTGGGTCTGAGGTTTCCCTTGAAACTGTCACTGGTCTTCCAGAAGACCAGCTATCCCAGATATATTAATAGTAGAATCGAAGGGCCCTGAGATACCTGACTTCAGAAATTCTTGAGTTCCCAAAGCCAGCATAGAGCTGGAGGATCTCCCGCATGTAGCTCGGAGGGCCAGTATGTGCTCATGAGAGAGGCAGAGGGAGAGTGTTTTCCAGAATATCAATCTAGGGTCCTGGAAAACCCTGCTCAACAGTGTTTCTTCCTTTCCTCGGCAAATCCAAGTGGATCCCTTCTTTGTATGATGGTTTTGGGCTCTGTCTTTTCCATAGATTATTTCTGCCAAGTCTGGTCTTCATTGATGCAGTTAATTAATAAATCTCATCTATTTTAATTTAATGCTTGAATGAGTGGCTACTCATGCGAGGTATTGGTCTAGGTATGCTTGGTAGGGCTGCAAACATGAACCAAATTTAGATTCTTCCCCAAGGAGTTTACAGACTACCAGGAGAGAAGTCAAGTATAGCTGGGGGTGGGAAGGGATGCACATAAACACACCGTTACTATAGGGTGTGTTAAGATAGAAAGAGACAAAATGTAATGAAAGAAGATGGGAGGAAATGGCCCCAATGACTCCTCATAAGGGGCAGAGAACCCCTGAAAAGGCAGTTTCTAGTTTGAAGGTTCTCTGAGATATGTAATGTCTACTTGAGCCAGGATAAATCTGCTTTGGGCTTTTATTTCTATTTCTTTCCTAGCTTCTGGAAAGAGGGCTTTCATGGAGGATGTTGACAGCAGGTTTAAAATGGGGGGCGTGGTTTGGGGTTTGGTGAACCCCACCCATAGATGTGAAGCCAGAAGGAGGAACCCCAGTGCTGGTATGGTGTCCTGCTCAAGAAGATGCCAGAGCCTCTGAGCAGGGATCATGGTCTGAGGAGGCTTGTGACTCTCTTGTTTAACTTACAGCTTTAAAGGAAATAACATCTTTGTAGCAAAAGTCCACCGGGATTTGCATTTGTATTTCTAAAAAAAGAGGAAGACTACACAAAAACCTGTAGTCAAATATTGATTGCAGCTTCATTTGTAATAGCCAAAGACTGGGAATAAGCGAGATGTTTCTCAGTGGGCGAATGGTTAAATAAACTATGGTACGTCTATATCACTGAATACGGCTCAGCCATAAACAGGAATGAGTTACTGGTGCACGGAACAACTTGGATGAATCTCAAGAGAAATGTGCTGAGTGAAAAAGTCAATCCAAAGGATTACATATTGTATGATTTCATTTATATAAACAATAACACATGGTAGAGATGGAAAGCAGATTAGGGATGGATGGGGTTAGCAATGGGAGTGTGAGGTGGGAGTGAGGTGGATGTATGCAGGTAGTTATGAAAGGGTAACAGGAGAACGAAGCCTTGGAATGGTTCTGTATCTTGACTGTAGTAGTGGATATACTAATCTACACATGTAATAAAACTGTAGAAGCCCAAATGCACACACACATGCACACGTGTGAGCACACATAAAAATGAGGAAATCCAGGCTGGGCACGGTGGCTCATGTCTGTAATTCCAGCACTTTGGGAGCCTGAGGCGGGTGGATCACGAGGTCAGGTGTTTGAGACCAGCTGACCAACATGGTGAAACTCGTCTCTACTAAAAATACAAAGAAAATTAGCCAGGCATGGTGGTGCGTGCCTGTAATCTCAGCTACTCAGGGGGCTGAGGCAGAAGAATCGCTTGAACCTGGGAGGTGGAGCTTGCAGTGAGCCGAGATTGCACCAGTCTGGGCGACAGAGCAAGACTCTGTCTCAAAAAAAAAACAAACAAAACAAAACAAAACAAAACAACAACAACAACAAAAAAAACTGACTAAAATTGGTGGATTGTATCAATGTCATTTTTCTGGCTTTGATATTGTACTACGGTTTTGAATATGGTGTGATTAGCAAAACTGGGTAAAGGGTACAGGAGATGTCTTTGTATTATTTCTTACAAGTGCATGTGAATCTATAATGATCTCAAAACAAAAAGTTTAAAAAGAAGAAAAAGAGGCTTGTGAGCTTCCTTAATCCTGTGACTTGCTTCACATTTATCATGTTTGTTACCTTCCCTGACACAAGCAGGAGGTGAGTGCTGGGGAGGTTCTGAGGATAGAGAATTACTCCTGGCTTAGGGGTAGACTGGCTCCATTGAGGAGGCTGAATGGCATCTGAACCCTGAAAGACTGTCCAGAATTGGGTACATAAAGTCTAAAGGGAGAGTATATAGGTAAAGACAGAGGGCAGGACAGAATGGGATGAGAACGTGAAATGAGACATAATTGGGTTTGGTTGGGAAAAGAGGGAAGGAGTGGGGGTGGGAGTGGAAAAGAAGGTGGGGGGCAAATCATGGTAGTTGAGAAGACTGGGCAATGGGGAGGTCATTGAAGACTCCGTGAGGGTGCTGAGCTGTGCTTCAGGGAAATCAGTCTGGCAGCAGTGTAGGGAGAGAGGTCAGATGGGGATATAGAGGGAGAGAAATTAGGAACCCATTCCTGTAATCTGGGAAACGGAGAGGTCAAGATTAATTTCCTCTGCCTGTACTAGGAACATTTACAAGTTAAGTTTATTTCTCTCTCATATAAAAGTTATGGTAAGCAGTCCAGAATTGATGTGTACACACCACAAAGTTATCAGGGATCTAGTCCTTTTCTAGCTCTCTGCTGTGCCATCCCTAGAGTGCTGCTGTCGTTCTCAAGGTCATTGCAGCAGCAAAGTTGAGGAACTGGGTAGAAAAGCATGTTTTTATAGAACAGCTTCCCAGAAGTCCCACATAACATGCTTGCCTACTTCCCATTGGCTAGAACTTAGTCACATGGCCACATCTAATTGGAGGGGAGTCTGGGAAATGTAGTCTTTTAGCTGAGTCGCCATGTGCCCGGCTAAAATGGAGAGTTCATTAAGGAGAAAAGGGAGAAGGGAT